CAGACAGACAGACAGACAGACAGACAGACAGACAGACAGACAGACAGTCAGACAGACAGACATATTCACCTGGCAAAGTATTCAAAAGCTCTTCTGCAGTAGGTCCCGCTACAGTCGGAGTGTCGATGACACATTTTGACATGATGACACACACGCAAGAATCACAAAGTGAAAACAATACCAGTATCACTATCGTGGGCTGTTAATTATATCTATTTGCAGAGATATGAATATCTCTGCAACTCTGCTGTAGGTCAACTTGGCTCCATATACATGAAAGCATTATGTTACTCTTATACTGTACATGTAATCATAGTGAGCTTACAGTTCATCAGTGAAATATGAATGGAGTTTGTACACGTGCCAAGTTATGATTATAATGGGAGTGAATGGGCCGCCACAAATTTGGCTGTGTCATGGGATTAATAATAAATTAGATCACAATGAAGTTGTACACAGCTCATTAGTGTAGGATAGAATTTTAAAATATCCGTGTTTTACTGCAGAGCAATGGTTGAGCTGTGATTAGAATGTAAGTCAATGGCCTTGCTGTTAAGAGTGTTATCAACAAGAAAAGTAACCCAACCCATCTACAAAGAATCACACACAATTTCACATGATGTCATATCATAATCTTATAAAATGTGCAAATTCATGCAAACTTTTTAAAACCAGTATATGTGGCATAAATGGATTTTTTTTAATCCATTAAACTTCACAGAACTAGAATAGATGAAAGACCGGAATAAAGTGAGGTCCAACAGAATGAATACCTTCTTGTTTGTTCCTTTGTTTACTGTATGTCACAAGGAGACCTCAGGGCTGCCGAAGGGTGTGAAGACTTAACATTCAGCGGTTTGTGGTTGAGAGCTCTTCCTGTTTTTCTGTATCAGTCCATAGTGGTGCACAAGCTCTCCGCTGCTTAGGAGACCTTAAAGAAAAAGGTTGCTACATTGGTTTGACCTGGTATGAAGTTAAAATAAAGGAAAATAAATGTAATTTAATAAATCAAAATGTGACCCTATCTAAGTTCAGATAATATAAAAAATGTACCAGTGTTTTATCCTCATATAAATTCCTTAATTTTCTTCCCCACTGTTAAGTTATAATGTTGAAGATTTTTGAGAAATCAGACCCCATTTTGGACTATAATTATTTATGGTTCAGATTTTTTTCAGCATTATCAATTCAATGTACTTACATTCTCTAATTACCTGTCTCTGTAGTAGTTTTCATTGGTAGTGGCGAAGTCCGCCATTTGATGACTGGATTAAAATGACCAAAACGATGAGCCGAAAGACACTAAAAAGCTCCGTTGAGATGAGGGGCATGTCACAGTGAGTGACTACCTTTCAGATTAGCCACAGGTTAAGTTAAAGAACTGAATATACTTTATTTGTTTATGATGAACACATAAAATAATAGCATGAAAGCAATGATTTTTCCTTTAATAATCGACTCAAGTAAGAGTGAAAAGTATGCTGCATACTCTCACAAGTTACTTGAGTACATAAAGGAGTAAATAGAACTGGTTACCCACCTCGGGTTAAAGCTGTGTGGGTGAACGCTGGTGTTTCCACTCATGTTATCTGATTGGACCTCCTCTCAGTACTGAGTCTGTGTGGACATTCTGCACTGTAGCAATGCTTCAAACATAATTGAACTCCTGTGTGGGTGTGCAGTGCCACCATAGTGATTATAGCAGTGTTACCTATAGCGCACCTTTCTTTCTCCTTTTTTGGCTAAACTGTTTACTGTATAGGATACTGATATACAATATCTCTGCAAGCTTTGAGAGCTCGAGTAGAATTCTGTAAAATGTTGCCGTGTGAACCATCGCATTTCTTATTTATGGTGTCAATAGTTGAGTGAAAACAGTGTCCAGATGTTAGGTGGGGCTGCGTTCAGAGTCACAGCTGATGCTAAACGTATTACCTAAACTAGTTGAGTTGCATATTCTCTGAAAAAGATGATTTGTCAAAGTCCCTCTGCATTACATTATTTGGCTTCTGCTTCTAATATTCTAATATTCTAATCTACAACTATAATATATATATATATATATATACTGTACATGTGTTTCAGTAAATAATAGCCATTGTAACAGACCAGAAGGAACTATTTGTTGCAGCTCCACAGAGAGGACAGGACACAACTAAATTGTGAATATTTATTAAATATTGCTGCCTCAGTGAAGTGAAAGAAAAAGAGGTTGCGTTATTTATATTTATCTCCAAAAGTCTCTGATGGTCGACCTTCAAATGAGGAAGAGGCCACCCGTGTATTGTTGTGTGTGAGTGAGGAACTCTGCCCTAAAGAGATGAGTGTCAGTATTCAGAGGTGGATCGATGTGAGAGGATGAAGCTTCTACTCAGCAGTCTGATACTCGCCTCCTTCTACGCCTGCTCGAGTGAGTAAAAAAATAATAATTAATCTCCATATTTCGTGTTTTATTATTATGTGAGAGTTAATCATTACATTTGAGCAAAAGAGGCATGTGGTTTTTGCCTTGAATAAACGATGGGGTCACTATATTGAAGTTACTGTGTAGAGGTGTAAGGAGAGGGCAACACATGAACTACAAGAATTATAACCACCAATGGACTATGAAGTCAAATGCAATAAAACGATTTAATTTCAAAGCTCAGCCTGCACAAAGTGTTAAAGTAAATGTTTATTTATATATGTGGAGTTAAATTGTGTAAATCGCAGAGGATTGATTTTAAATGTTGTTTTGTATGATTCTATTTAATGCGTCAAGGTCAAATATCTGGATTACTTGAACTTAATAAGTAATATTCATGTTATGTTGATGTGTAAAAACGCAGACTTTTGAGAACACATTAGTCGAAACAAAGATCCCAAAAATGGTGGACAAAAATGGATTTATGCATTTTAACTGCTCATAAATATTAACACTGAAATATGAAAATATGACAACACATTTCTTGAATTAAACAAGCAATTGAAAAGACAAAATTCAGGCTCAATTCTAAATATAAAAATATAATGCATTAAGGCTCTCAGTGATTCCATAATATACATTTTTAATTAATTTATAAATCCATGGACTTTCACAGCTTATATGTTTCAGCAAGATTTCTGCTCATTCTCAAAACTGTGTGCACGTTCAAAACATATTCGTGTTCACCGAGAAGTCCAGGATAAAGTTATAATTTAATGAGAGGAAATCTATACATTTCAAGAAAAAAGTCGTAATAATACAATAAAGTTGTAATTTAATGAGAGTAAAGTCATAATATTTCAAGAAAAAAGTCGTAATAATACGATAACAAAGTCGTAAGATAATTAAAATAGAGTCGTAGTATTTCAAGAAAGAAATCTACCTGTCCTACACAGTCTGCTGTGCAAGTTATTAATGAATATGATTATATTTGCTCATGATTATTTCGGCAGTGGTGCGTGGTTGCCCGTTGTAGCAGAGCTTTTTGGGGGATAATGAACAGCCAAATCATGTATCACCTCGTTGTCTCTTCAGGTGTTTCATCTCCAGGCAGACCTGCTGTTACCCAGAGTGCTGATGTCTCTGTGGTGGAGGGGGAGACAGTAAACATCAGCTGCTGCTGGACACCGGAGTTTGAAAGACTGAGAGTTCAGTGGCTGGAAAATCAAACAGATATGAAGGAGATTTTGTACTTGAAGAATCTCTCTCATGGATCTCTGCCAGAGGAGACGTCTGACTGCTCAAACTTGACCATTACGAATGTCACGAGAGAGGATTCAGGGGGATACATCTGCAAGGTGACAGTGGACATACCAGTTTTAACTGTGGTTGAAGGAAATGGTACTGTCATCACCGTTACGGCCAGAGACAACACAAAGGACAACACAGCAGGAGGTATGTCACAGCTGCCCCCCATAAAAGTTTGGACTCCCTGTTGTATACGTAGTCTAAGCTTGTTGCCTCTGTGGGTGAATTTCAGGTTCTCACTGGGAGGAAGTGCTCATTTATGTCCTGAGGTGCCTGCCCATCCTCGCCCTCATCATCACCTTCTTCTTCATCAATAGTTTAGTGACCAAAGCTCAGCAACACGCACCAGGTACACAGCTTCCAGTTCGTTGTGATGAAACGGTGTCTGGATCACACAGCACATCAGCAGCATACATGTTACCGTAGTTTATGAATAATCGATCGGTGCATTCATGTTTCAGCTGCTCCTGGAAATGAACGCACTCCAGCCCTAAGGAGAGGGGAAACCCAAGAAGAAGAGGAAAGAGATGCGAGGGAGATAAAACCAGAGTAAAAGAGAGAGAAAATCAACACGTGTCACCTTTAATGAGAGGCTGATGATTAAGATGTCAAATATAAACCGCACTGTCTCGATCTCTTCTTGCTTTGACTTCAGCTGTGTTCTTGAAAGCATGCCATTAAAAATAATGCGAAACGGGTTACAGGATAAGTATCATTTTTCTTCCAGATTTTTGAAACATACATGATTTACTGTATAAATACAGCACTTCAGTAACGGAAAGGGACAATTCATGATTTGGTCTGAAGGTGGACCCATAAACTTAAATTAGAGCCTCTCTGTGAAGGGTCTTCTCACACTTTGAGGACCCCTAGTGGTGGCACTAAAAATATACACTATAACACAACAATTCATGCCTGTACTCTTACATGGATCTGACCCTTGGACACAGATGAATGGTACGACCCATTTAATTAAAGACAGCACCAGTTCCCAACGGATTTGTCTCAGTTTTCTGCAAACAACAACTCACACGCTCAGAGTGATGTGAAAGATAGCATGTAGTCACTTAACAGCTGTAAACATGAGGGTTTTAACCAAAGTAAAACTACAAAATACCACCCAGTACACTTTTTGAATGCTCCAATGCTGGTATTTAACTTACTATACAGACACTAAAATATATCAGGTGAACTAGGGACTAAGTCCAGGGTCAGAAATGGAGTCAGGCCAAACATATCACCTCGGTTGGAATGCTGGCCTACGCAAAGATAACCTTGCCAGCATTTTGATTTAAAGGTTAGAATTCAGAGCATTCATATCAGCAAACAACCATTTGCTTTGTGAAGAAATAGAGGACTATTTTGTTGGTGGGCCACTTCACTATTTCTGTGACTCCAAACTGCATTGTGAGAACAGTGATGATTATCTTTGCAGAACCAATCGCTGCCTTCTATCTGAAGGAGGAAGGAACAAAAGCTGTGGTTTTTCACACGTCTCTGCAGAAAATACAGAGGGAGGCAGTAGAAAAGATGATGCCCAGTGTGTGTGAGCGTGTGTGTGTGTGTGTGTGTGTGTGTGTGTGGTGGGAAGGACTCAGAGCTGCTGTGAGGAGATGAGTGTCAGTTGTCAGCGGTGAATCGGAGTGTAAAGATGAAGCTTCTACTCAGCAGTGTGCTACTCGCCTCTCTTTGTGCCCTCTCATCTTGGAGTGAGTAACAAACACAGCTTAACCTTTAACGTCACATGTTTCACAGAGATATAGAGTTAAAATGTGTGCTCAAAATATCAAAACTAGGACATCCTTTTTATGATCACTGTATTTTTTAAGATATTGTCAACGATCTCATGAATTAATGCATTTTTATGCTTACGGTAGACATTAAACCGACATGTTTCAAATGTTTGAATATTTCAAACGTATGAATGTGTAATGAAGTGACCACTATTGTTTTATGGTTGGTGTGACATTACCGCTTTACTTGGTCGTTGACTTGTGAAACAATCCGATCAAATCACTGTGATCTATTTTAGCGCCTCTCCAGATTTGGATGAAAAGTGAAAAACTCACCACTCGCTAAATTTACCTTCTGGTTTGGCTTCTGAAACGATGCAACGTGTGTGTTGTTGTGATGAACAGCCAAATCATGTATCACCTCGTTGTCTCTTCAGGTGTTTCATCTCCAGGCAGACCTGCTGTTACCCAGAGTGCTGATGTCTCTGTGGTGGAGGGGGAGACAGTAAACATCAGCTGCTGCTGGACACCGGAGTTTGAAAGACTGAGAGTTCAGTGGCTGGAAAATCAAACAGATATGAAGAAGATTTTGTACTTGAAGAATCTCTCTCATGGATCTCTGCCAGAGGAGACGTCTGACTGCTCAAACTTGACCATTACGAATGTCACGAGAGAGGATTCAGGGAGATACATCTGCAAGGTGACAGTGGACATACCAGTTTTAACTGTGGTTGAAGGAAATGGTACTGTCATCACCGTTACGGCCAGAGACAACACAAAGGACAACACAGCAGGAGGTATGGTGACACAACACCAGTGTTGTATAAAGGGTTTGAATAATATCTGCCTAATAAACCGTAGATCAGTCAAATGCTTTCTTGTTTTATGTATAAACTTCTAATACAAGGTTTTAAAAAAATCAAACATACACACAAATCACCTTTCCTTAAAAAAAAACTAAAAAAGAAACAACAACTTCAATTCTGTTATTTTCATTGGAATATTTGTGTTTCATTTTTTCTCCCAACATGGCCATCCAGGTTCTATCAACAATCTTTCGCTGACTCCTGTGATCATTCCCCTGGCTGTGGTGGCTCCATTGCTCCTCATCGCTCTCGTGTGTTTCTGCTCTCTGCGAAGGAGACAAGGTATGAGGAAAAGAATATTATTACCATAATATTATGGAATCCAGTATTTGCCTCCATCTTAATAAAATTGAAATGAATCAAATTTTGTTTTCAGCTTTGAAAAAATGACATTTTAAAAAATGAACAGCGCTTTTCTAATTAAATTAATTTGATGTATTGTTTCAGACAATACAGTATGAAATCAGCGTGTTTGAAGAAATGATATACTGTATATCGGTCAGTATAGCAAACCTATTGTTTGAAATAAGTTTACAAAGGAATAAGTGATTAATTTGACATGAAGAGTAAATAAAATAAGCTATTCGCCAATAGGTGCTTTTAAGATAAAGACCAATAGGATTTAAAAATAAATTATTCTATAACAGCTGAAAACACAACACTGACATGTTGTCACCTTATGTACTCAGTTGCCCATTAGCTGGAAAGAAGTTAGAGTCAATAGTTTAAGTTGCAGGTTGTAAAGAAAAACAATGAGTTAAAGACGCAAGAAACACTTTCCGTTGTGCTGACGGGTGATAATTATCTTCATCGGCTCCGTGGTTAACGTAAAAATACTGACAGGAGCAGCTGATTTAAAATGTTGGCAGCTGAACTCTGTTGAAAAGTGTATATAAGACCAAAGGGCATCTAACATAATAATAACCATTTCTTGATAAAAAGGATACAAAAGACTTGAAATATCTCTTGATTGAACTAATTCATATTCACGTTAAATGTTTACATGGGCAACACATCACCTTCAATAACATTGACATGAGATTCTAGCGCGCATACTAACCCACTTCATGTCAGCAAAGGCAAATCTATGGATGTCTTTATACAGTTTAACACAAAATGTCACAAGGTGTCATTTCAATGAACAGGACTAAAGATTGAACCCTGTGTTACACCAAGAATAAATTGTCGACTGAGATTGATGAAGACTTGCTTGTTGCAATGTACTCCTGTATGGATGTATGAGCTGAGTAAATTTAGTGCTGCTGAGGGTCGGAAAAGTGTTAAAGGAGACACATGGTGCCACTTTCAGTCACTGTTTAATAGCAGAGCAATGGACCAGTGACCTCCTTGGGGCAGTATTATAGCAACTAGTAAAAGTAAACACTGGTAGAGACAGTAGCAGCTGAATTATCCAGCTAAATTTAAATAAGTGTGCTGCTTCTATGTATTTTTGTTGGTGCACAGGTTTCGTTTTATGCTAACTAACCTTTCATTTGTTTGTGTGTGTCCCACAGGTTCAGTGCAAGCAGCCAGGGTGATCTACGAGGTACCCCACATTAACTCTGAGGTGGTAGAAATGGACAAACACAGCACCGGCTCCTCCACGGGCTCTTCTCAGTGGGTGAGTTTAATGGCATCGAGGCTACAGAGACAAATATTGTGTGTGGAGTAACAGTAAGAAACGGAAAGAAAAAAAAATGGTGGTGCCAACCAACGGGCAGTCTATGCTCATTTTGGTTCAGTGTGGTGAATGAGGTAACACATAGTTTGACGAACGGGGAAACAACCTTTTCATGTGATCCTGTTATGTAGGTCTACTTTGTAGGCTTCAGTGGAGAGAATACACAAACATACAGCACTCTTCTTCACAAGCCGTTCTTGAGATCTTTGTATCAGCAGTCACATTGTTTGGCCAAATGTCTTAACAAATGAAATTCAGCCTATTGTCAATCCGCCTCTGCCTTATATTATTCATCAATCAACCTACTAAAAGTTTCCAACCTTTCTTCCCACAGTTGCTTTGCATGTGGTCTTTATATAAAGTGTGTGAGCTGGGTGTGAAATGTGCATATTTACTCCACATTTTATATAGACAAAGAAAGCTGCATCAAATTGCAGATCCATTATTGGTTACCCATGTGATATTCAATTAAAACTGTTACCGGCATCAACATGTCTGATTTGGTGCATGTTTAGTTCTCAGAATCGATATTTCAACAGCGGACTCAAGTTCTACAGAACTCCGACAGCATAACAACCGGATAATACCGACATGTTCTGTTGGAGTTTTCAACAGCTGCCGTTGTCTATAACTGCAAACTATTAGTGTAAACATGGGCTTCATTGAAGTAGGATTTAATACACAACCGTTTAGCTTAAAGAACTTAATGTTTTTCTGGTCACTCTGGTCACTCTGTTCTGGTCAGCTTTGTTTAAACCACAGCTTTAGCAGGAACTTCCAAAGTTGAGAGACTATTATGAAATATAACTAGCATCCTCTTTCTGAGTGATCATGTCTACCGATCACGCCTACTCAGTATTATATTGTTGACATTAGCAAACTTCTTTGACACATGTTGATATACCGCTATACGTCCCTGATACGGTGTAATGTAAGCTTGCAATGACTGTTTTTATGTCTTTGTCTCTTTCAGTGTCAGGTACCAGTGTATGAATCCTTCGATTACTTTGAACATGTCGAGACCAAAGAAAGTGGATGACGACGTGCTGATCAGGGAAATTTCCTCATCTTCCAGTATTTTCTACTTTTTAGCGTGTATATAATGTACATTATTTTACTAACCTTATATTGTGATTTTAGATGAGTGTAAATATTTTTAATTTTTCTATAAACTCAGTCCTGTCCATCTTTGTGGTCTAAGTTCATTTCAATAATGTGTGTGCATTTATAGACAGGTTTACTTTCACGGTTGCTTTTCTTTTCACTTGATCATTCTACAAGTGGTCTGCATTAGTGAGTGCATTGATTCTGGAGCAAAGATGCAGGTTTCAAAATGACTTCAAATCACAAGGAGGATGCTGAGTGGAAACTGTGGTGCTACGGGTTCGGCGCATAAAAGGTCACTGACAGGAAGTGGAAACAGCTCTTGTGTGGTTGTTTCTCCCTGGCCTTGACACTTGATACAGAGCTTCTAAAATGTTGGATCCTGAGTAGCTGACTTACAGTAAATACATTTAGCTAAGACCATGTTTTACTCATCATTCGGCTCTAAATACATGTGCTCTGCATTTCAGGTTATGTGTTGATTTTCTAAAATTTCCCGCGACCATGTTGGTAAAAAACCCTGTTAGCATCATTGAAAGCACAATTACACAATTAGCATGAGTTGGTAATACTAGCCATACAAACATGCTTAGAAATATATGGTCAATGTCACATAAAGAGTAGCCTGGAGAGCTGAATACCATTAAAGGTCTATCAGGATTATACCATGTTGTAGATGACATTTACATCTGTTCATGAAAAAAAGGCTCTATAAGTGGTTAGGGTTAGGGTCAATGTCTTAACTAAATAGCTCTGTTCAGTCAAGGTGCTAATGCGTTAGCATACTGTTAAATAAGCTACATTAGCCCTTTTTGTGACTGAGCAGTATACTCTGTGATTAGTTCAAGCAAGATTGTCCTCTTCCCTCTTAGGAACAAAATTAATTTAAAATTTTTCATGATCCAAAAGAAAGAATTTTCCAACTACCCAGAAGGATAAAAATGTTTGCCTGGGACAAAACAAATATTTGAATCCAACATTTCCACAGATTGTGGCTCTTTGTGCTTCTCCTAGGCAGCTGGCAATAGTCTGTGTAAATATGAGATTCAAACGTTAGCTTTGGCCCATGCAAACATTGTATATTTGGGGGCAGATATTGACACCTGTGGGATCACGGAAAAAAAAACCTTTAGCAAACATCCTGCTACTGGATAATTCCTGAAAAAGGAATGCTAATGTGACCAGTAACGACGAACAAGTCACAGATTAGCCTACGCTACAGAGCGCTGTTGTTTGCACGTAGGCTACACTGGATAGTAGTATAACTTATGGGACACGGGTTATTTTTGTGTCACATTTAGGTCAGCATATTTGTGCTGTGAAAGCAATGACTTATAAGTTAAATAGTACCCTGATGGTGAGAGGTTTGTCAATACAGAGACAATTAACCCAATGAGTCAGCCAGTTAGGACTGATAAAAAGTGTTGAAGGCTGCAGAAAGACACTCCTTCACTCATGGGAACAAACCTACACTACCCTTTACCTGCATACCAGCTGCAAAAAGGTGTTAACCACCACATAATGAGTGTACCCTTTGCACGCTTTCACACTGTATTATTCGCTTGCACACATACACAATTCATCACATCTGTGGGATACAGCAATACTGTGCATTGCTTACATCGTGCACATAAATCTGATCTTCGAAAATGAAAAAAACATAAAAAGTGCTGAAACAGTTATTTTTTAAGCTGCTGAATGGTGGCACAATTTGTTTAGTGGTACGTACTATTACTTATAATATTTAAGCATGTCTGGAAAGCATTTTTGGGTAACACTGTTATTATGTTCCTGTCGAATTTCAGTGGGAGACACTACAGGTGAATGGGGTAAACGTTTTAGCGAATAGAAATCATCATGAAACTCTCAGTCGATTACTTGACAATTGTTTTTCGTATTGCAAATTTTTTTGTTTAAATATACAAATTATTAACATATTAAATATGTGCTAACTTGCATGCATTTCCACAACAACAAATCTGAACACTGGATAAAACCATGCAGGTAAAAAATTTTGAATTGTAATTCCTGAAAATACTGTCAAAAGCCAAAAAAACCAACAATTTTTGCCATGTTTTCAGCAATAGAAACATTCTATAAATCAGGCTTTGAATGATAGGACCAAAGCTGTACAAACCTTGAGAATATAGATAGGAGTGACACTGGAACAGTTGGTGGTCAGTGCTACTGAAGTGGAGATTACTGGCTCAGAGTATGAGAAAAGAAATCATTTTGAGAAAACAGCCTTGACATATTTTATAAAATTCCATATATTTTGCACAGGTACAGGTGTACAGATGAATAGGCAAAAAAAAATGTACTAACAGATATCACCATGAAACTTCCCCAATTGGTTACTTACTTTAAGACAATTACATTTACACTTTCTAGTCTGACAGAAGTAGAAGAAATAGCCCAAAATCTCAAAGTTGACCATGAAAGATGGTTTTGCCTCGGTTGTCTCCCCTTAAAATACGTAAATGTCATGTTCCGATGGAGTCCAAATTCTTAAATTCATCCTGCTGTAATATGCAAAATGTGGGGATTTTGATACTGTTTACTTCTCACTGTGTTTGATGTGTGATGTATTACAGCCAGAGCAGTGCTGAAACTAAGTTACTGGTTGTGACCAGATAAACGCTTACTTCACATCAGTATATATTCTGTATACTGTCACAGAACACTGTTTCCAGGAAACCAGAAAACAGAAACATACGAGCGAACACGCTGCTTTTACGCAGTTTGAACTTTCCTCTCGTGGTTCATGTACGGCATGCACGGACAACCACGAACCACAGGTGATGCAGGGACACTGTGTGTGTTTCCTACTGATGATACCCAAAGAGACAACCAGCACAGGTTTTAAACTACACAACAAATAAACCATGATTTACTTTGTCCAAGATGAAAACAGTCACAGGATCTATTGTGGTTTAGTTAATGAAAAGACCTCACCTTAAATCAACAAGTCAATGACTGAAGCTCCATGTGGGTTGTGAGGTAATATGTTCACTGGGCGTTGTAGGGCTGCAGCTTTGTTGACACAGTTGGAGCCACCACCTATATCAAACACTTCAACTGATATTGCCTGACATTTTTTTCTTTTTTAACATTTTTCTAAAGGTATATAAGGAGTCCTCCCAGTGCCAACACATCTCCTGCTCTGTTGATCGCTGTTGGTATACCATTTTTCCGTCTTTGACCACCTCTGAAGCAGCAATCATGACCCAGCTAGAGACAGCCATGGCCATCCTGATGAAGACCTTTGATACATATGCTGGTGTCGAGGGCAATAAGGAGAGTCTGAGCAAAGGCGAGGCCAAGACCCTGCTGGAGAAGGAGTTGCCTGGACTGCTCAAGGTACCGTATCCATAACTGTGCTGTACTGAGAATGTATTGACTTGTGGTGTAAAGCGCCTTTTTTTTCTGGGGGGATAAAATAGTCAGTAGTGATAACAAAATGATGTGCCTATTTAACATAAATTATAACAACTAAATAAACCAAAAAAAAACAGACTCATTTGATTGAACAATTTATTTTCTTTTTTGGTATTTTTAGTCATACACAGATATGAGATGATGATTGCTGGGTATGTTGCTGTTGTCCAATGTCAACTCTTTGATCATTTGACAAGACGATAAGATGGTGTGTGTGTGTGTGTGTGCTTCATTACTGGTGTGCACTGGGCCCCATTATACCTTACACCACTGCTTCAAAGTCTACTAAAATGATCTGGAAAAAGGGACCACTTGCATACAGTAGTATAATGTAGCATTGTAACAGCATCCAGTAATAGTAATGTTGATTTCTTGGTGTGCGCAGGCGGCAAAGAACCAAGACGCGGTGGACAAGATGCTGAAAGGTCTGGATTTTAACGGAGACTCTGAGGTCGACTTCAACGAATTTGTGGTGCTGGTAGCTGCTCTCACGTGTGCCTGCCACAACCGCACTCCCAAGAAGTGAGCGTGGCGACCGCACCCTGGGGTGGGGCCCGGCAACAGCGACATTAAATCTCTTTAGTGACTGTGTTCTGTAACAACTGAATAAACTGATTTATTTACCTGTGCATGTTTTGTCTAGATGTAGTGTGTGACCAACGTGAAATCACGAGCAATAATAAAATCCTTTTAGGTCATACATAGGTGACCACATACTCCAATATTGCCATTGGAGTATGGTAATAAAACCACGATATAAATAACAATAGTGTGCAAAACAGTTTTGTATTTTACATGCTCTTCTTTGAATGGACAAACACCCTTTTAGGATGATGAAAGTCAAAAATCCATTGCTTCATCAGAGAAATATGGTAATCGATCTTAAGGTTTTAGTTCCTTAAAACTAGTAAGTACATTATCATAGTTTTTTCTCCCATGAGTGATCAAACGATAGATACACATACAACACACAAAAAACGATCTTTTTTTACTTTTTTTTTTACAGCAGCAGAATAATACTGAGACAAAGAACAAGTTTACAATACAACAGAACTTTATAAATAAGAATAAATATACAAATACATGTGCAACGGACCTGAAAAGCATTCAAAGCTACAAACGTAACATAAATGAATGGTGACATTTCATGTGGTGGATGGTGTGTGCGACAGGAAACGTGTTGTAGCTGCAGCGGGTGGTCAGACGGCCTTAGTCAGTGTCGAACTAGAACAAGCACGAGCTCACGTGTACACAGCGTGCTGCGTCTTCTTACAGGTAGAAATCAATACTTTCACGCTTCTTCCCTGGAAGGAGTTTATTGGTTGATAAAATACCAGCATTGGTTTGACGAAAACATCTCGAGCTTAAAGTCGAAAAAATTGGAAGGTTTCGACACTGCAACATAATTAATGGAGACCATCTTGCCCCGCCAGAAGCGCGGAGCGATCTGAAGCGCGCGGTCAGAGCGGTGGCTTTCTGATGAGCCGAACATGTAGGTCACATACACATCTAGTTCTCACTCGAGTAGGTGTTAGAAGCCAAGACGAAAAAAAAACCACAACAGGATCTTTATGAAGACCAAAAAGAAACTCAAGTAGAGGAGGCACTGGGCAACACTTGATATCTGGCCTGCATTGTGTTTACTGGTCTGAGGCCAGGTATGAGTAGGCCTACACATAAGAACGTTGACTCTGTTTTCTTTTTTTTAATTGTTCTCAATGTACATAAACATAAAAACAAAGCAGAACAAAGGTTAAACATTAACATTGAGCAGCTATATCTATATTTATATGGACATTTGTCTGGAAATTAAGTTGAATATATAAATACAGATAGTGGTAAGTGGTATATATATATATATATATATATATATATATATATATATATATATATATGTGTAAATACATTTAAATTAAAAAAAATATTTTTTGGCATTTGTAGACAGTAATACAATAGTGCAATGAGTGGTGTTGGAATACATATGGGATGACTACTATAACAGGTTGCTTTACAAGTAGGTGCGACAGTCTATGGACATAGATAATTACTCGACTCAGTGTGTGAAATGCAAAATACCTGTGGCAATTGGAGGTCTAAGATTTTTAGTCAATTATCTTGTGATTTTAATGACTTGAATTTTTTTTTGCTATTTAGGCTTTCAGCTGGTCTGAAGAGTCAATCAAGGGGTCTCAGGCCCCCGTATTTTGCACACTTCTTCGACTTTTAATAGACAGATAGTTGCATATGTTACAGAAAAATGTATTTTTAAACGATGAAAAATATGTCATTCACTGTTAATTAAGGATGATGCTTGGTGTTTGGTATTGGATTCGACTGTGGGGGTAAAAATGTTGTTGCGTTTGCTTGTTTTGGCACACAATGCTCTGTAGCGCCTCCCAGAGGGGAGAGTTGAAACTGCAGTGATGTTACCTTTACTTGACTCTGGAGGTGTACAAGCCATGGACGAGGCCAGGCTGGCAGCAATGATATTTCTTCATGTAGTCTGTTCCTGCCATGTTTGGTGGCGGATCCAAACCACACATTTCAGGACGTGCAGAGAACAGTCTAGATCATTTTGGTTGGAGAACTAGATCAGCAGCTCCCGTTGAACTCCATGACATCTTCTGCTGGGCCTTTTTCCTGGTGCTGTCTATACGTTGGAAGTCCACTAGAGGTCCTGGGAGATGATGGATCCCTGAAACATGGAGGCTTTCACACAGTTATTCAGAATTGTGATGGTGATCAACCATCCCGGTTGAGACCTACGACTGTTTAGCAGACGGGTCTCCTGAGGTCAGTGGTGTAGGTATTTAGGGTTTTTCTTCTCATGCTGTTTTAATACTTTTTATTCCACTGCAATTATTTGTCAGCTATAGTTATGGGTTACTTTATAAATTAAGAGTTTTGCACACAAAAAAACATATGAACCGAATTTCGTTTAATTGGCAGCTATTTTTATTATCATTTTTTATTTTATTATTTATTATTATTTTTTATGTAAAACATTTCATGGTTCCAGCTTCACAGCTGTCATGATTTACTGCTTTTCCTTTTGATTATTGTAATTATTTAAAAATGTTTTTAAACTATGTCAAAATAATTTAAATCATTTCAAATTATTTTAAATTATTTTTAAGGTCTGTGCTGTTGGTTGGACAAAACAAACATTGTGAAGGTGTAATTGCAGCGGCATAAAATCAATTGATTACTGGAGAAAATAATCAGCAGATTAATCCATAATGAAAATAGTGTCAGCCCACCTCATCCAACTACAACAGTAAAATCTTGCTTTCACATTAGTGATTACTAATAATCCTATGATATAAAGGTATAATACAATCGTAGAGGATCTGAATACTTCCTCCACCGCTGGTCTGAGGTGACCTGCCTCTTAATCCACCTGTGAGACTTTGTGTCTCTGGGTCAGGTCAACACTCTATTAGCCCACCAGGGAGCACTGGCCAACTGACACACTTTCTCCAGCTGTTGTGTAATAGCAGAACGCCGGTGCTGCTCTCTAGTGGCAGCTAAATGCTCTGTTTGATATCCTGGGCCACTTGTCCAAGAAGTGCAGAGCTTCATTTTCATCATAAGCCTCCAGTCTCCACTGCCGTCCTGCTCGGCGTATCTGGGTTCATCACCTCCCTTATGGGACTCCGGTTGATTTGACGGTGCGGGCCGAGAGTGCAAGGCCTCACAGGGCTGTTTGTGGAACGTGGCTGGCCTGTAATCGGCTTGCGAGGTCATCAAGCTTAGACTCTTCTCTCCCGCTCTCTCTGTCCGGGGCATTATAAAGGCTTATGGGGATTAGGCATCCAGAGTGGAGGAGGATATAGCTCTGGAGTCAGGAGGTTCAGGTGGGAAGAGAAAGTGTGGTGGTGGTGGTGTGAGATGTGAGGAGTCTACTGTGTTTTGTGGTGCATGCGATCTTGTATTGTGATGCTTATTTGTCTCATCATATGCTCTTACCGTGTTATTTGCAATAAATAATGTAAACAGAAGCACAAACATAATACATTTTTATTGCTTATATGATAAATTGCCACCACTTTATAAGCATTGTCATAACAAATGGCCTTCCTTGTATATATTTGTTTTTAAAGCACAGTTTCAGATTACTGACATTTTCACTGAGTCTTCCCATAGGCTTCAATCTACTGACCGTGTGTCGATGCAATACATTTGTGGTTAGAGGTTTACTGCAAGCACACGCTTTGGTTGGTCCACGTGAGGAGGTATGAAGCAGTTATGAATACCTCATTCTGTTTTAAAGCCACACATCTCTGGTCATATGAGCTGCCGTGGTGTCCCGCTCGTCTCGTGGCCTGACTTTCAGCAGGAGAAACACAATAAACACACTGCTGCTCTTTGTCTCTTCACTGTGACCGAGTGTGCTTTCTCGTTCCGGTAGGTGTCGCTGTGCATCACTGAGTCGTACCGGGTCCGTAATATGCCCGGTACTATCGACAGGCTGCTTGACACTTGACTGTTTGACTCGAGGGTTGTTTGATTATTGATTATGGTAACTTTCAGCTTGTGATGTTTTGTCATCAATGGAGAGGTAAACATTAATATTAGGGAGCGTGTCTATGCTCCCTCAGATCAGTACCTCCGCCAGTGCCATGCCATTGTTCCGAAGGCCCATTATTCTGAATCCCCCGATAGTCCCATTTGTTATCAGCCTGTTATCCCGAAAACAAGCGGCAATTGTCTTGGAGGCCCATTTCACCGAAAATACAACGAACACACCTGCCCAGCACATGGCTAATTATTACACAGAATGACATCATCTGACCTTCCCGGTCTGATAGGCTTACCCTGATATTCTTACTCTAACCCGAACCAATCTCAGTCCTCATGCCTAAACCTACCAACCCAACCAATGAAGGCAACGAGTACTATGGATAATGTCCATTCTCGGATATTATCGGGCCGATATGTCAAAAAGTTACACACAAATTTGAACTGGGGCCAAGGTTGATGCTGAGGGAGCATGGGGTTGAGGGAACGCAGTGCTGAGTGAACATAGGGCCTTATTTGGATGGGGAAAATAATCATAGGTGCTGAGGGAACATAGGGCTGAGGTAGAGCTGAGGGAACATAGGGCTAAGTGAACATAGGGCTGACTGCCTGACAACCAAACCAGAGCGAAAGTGAAAGTTAATATTGGACTTTAATTTATCAGGTCACCTGACACATGAATGCTCATGTTGCTCCGTGTCAGCCGGATGCATAAATGATCAACTGTGCGCTAATGTGTTACTAAATCAATTTTCTAAGGCTTGTTTCTGCTGTTCCCAAGTGGTTAAAAATGCCATTAAAACAAAGGTGAACCTGACCATTGTTCCTTGATGATTTCCTTTAATAAATCAGTTTAATCAAAAGTGGATGAATTACTAAATGGCAATATAGAAAATACTAGTTGTTTTTTAGCCGCACTAGCGACGTGGCTCTAGGGATGGTAATCTTGATCTGTGGTCAGTTAAATAATTAAATTAAATAATCAGTTTTCAACCTCATTGCTGTGATCTGGCGATCAAATGACTACCTAGCACTGATTCATTTCAAAATGCATTTCTCTCCCTGATGATACAAGCATGGGGCTCATTATGTAAACATTGTACTTGCC